GTGCTTTCTCTGTCTAAAATAATTACTTTATCATTGTCATTGTAATTATTGTAATTGTCAATCTCAATTCTTCTTTTGACATTATTAATTAATTTAATTAATTTATGCTTATGCTGTGGTTTTTTTTTAATATATTAATGAATGAGACAATAATAATGATCTTTTGGTCGAATCTTTAATTCCGGGACAATTTAAATTTATTTCTATTTCTATTTTTATTTTTATTATTATTTAGTCTATTCTTATTTTATTATCTTTATTACTTGTATTTTTTATTAATTCTATTTATTTATCAATAACGTGTATAATTATTTATTATCATCTGAATTCGTGTATTTAATTATTATTATTATTAATCAATCCGTAGCACATTCATATTTATTTAACTTTATTTAGTAGAGATTAATGATGATTCTCCCGGAACGGGCGGAATCGCTCAAAACGTGCGGATTCACCCAGGTACAAAGTGAGCGAATTCGCGCAATTCGGGCTAATATGTAAAGAACATGTATATAAAGAACATAAAGAACTTGATTTCGACCTAATGTAAAATCAACTTTCTTACAAGTTAATTATTTTCGACTAAATAAATAAAATAGAAATATCTTATTTAAAACTTTTATCTTCTTTAATCAAAATTATTCGCTAATAACAATCAATTCGTTGATCACATATTCATTCTGATCCACGCAAAAACAAAAATAATTGTTATCACCAATTAAAATACACTCTCCCAAATTTAATCGGTATAATAATAATGAAATAATAATGATAACGATAACGAAATAGCAATAATAATTAAATAATAAAAAAACAAGGTTTTCACTGATCACCAAATAATTTTTCCATAATAACCATAAATAACGTAATTTATTATTATTTTTATTTTACATAAACACTTGCATCAATTATTGATTTTTTTTATGTCAAAATTGTTATTTGCCATTTATTTTTATTCGTTTATTAGTATCTATACTAGTTTCAAAAATAATTTTGAGCTTCTAAAGGCAATTATAACATGATGTTGACCCGGTCAAACCCGGGTCAATTAAATCATGACCCGACCCGACTCGTTTCGGAGCTCTAGAGGAAGCTATATCAATTTTAATCAGAGGAGTAAATGAACCAAAGATTGATGGTGATTTATTATTTGATTTGCCTCTTGAATATTTTTTACTTGCTTGCTTTTTGTCTATTATTAAAATAATTACTTTGATTTATTCAAAAGATAAATAAGTTTGTCTCTTGAACATTCTTTGCTTGCTTGTCTTTTGTCTAGTATACCAAAAAACAACAACAATGTCATCCATCTTGTCATCAATCATGTTCATGACTTGGGCTACATAAGATTTTAGGATTTGCGCTTTATGCATTGTAAGTTATTATGTTTGCAACTCAATGTAAATCAATGTTTCGACTTAAATGATCATACAGATTTAGGGAAATAGAAAATGAAACCCTAAAAGATGAAAATTTGGAACAGTGATATAATTGTTACGTTTGGAACTCTATATTTGACCAGAGTTTTGACAATATAAAAGAAACATCTATAATACGGTAAGCATCTTATATACTTTGATCTCTGTCTGATTTTTTTAACTACAAAATAGAGAAAGTTGTAGTGTTGTAAATTCTACTAGAAAAAATGCAAAGAGAGTTTTAGACGAGAATCTTAAATATGGTCATAAGGGGGATTGGATAATTAGAACGAAGGAGAGGTAGCCAGAACGAATTTGGGTATTAGTATGGAGAAGTGGGAAGAATATGGATTGATAAATTTGGAACAAGGTTCCTAAAAGAGACATGTATTAAAACTCCGAAAATATGCAAATAGAATCAAAAATTATGCTCCAAATTACAAACAACAGAGATTATACATTCGGGTAAAAAAAATTTATTTTTGAAATCTGGACTTGTACAACAACTTTCAAGAATTCTTATCATGAAATATTATAGGACTTATGATGGTGATGATAAGGTTGGATAACCTTAATGGTTATGTATTAGTATGTAGAGTTAATCGAGATGATATTTTGGAGATCCCGACACTGAATAAAAATTTCCAGAAGTATTGGAAATTTTAGCAGCTGTCCTAAATCTAAAGGTATTATTTTTATCTTCATTGCCATAACATTTATCAATATTTTTCATAATGGTTAGTCTATTGTCAGGGATACAAAGAAGTTACAAATTCTTCTTTATCAGAATGCGATGTGACAAACATTCTTGCACGTAAAAGAAAAAAACAAGTCATGACACAAAACAATTTTCACGACCTGTAAAGGGTTGTTGGTTGGCTGATGAATTTAGAAACGTGGGCAAATGCAAGCTTAAATTAAATGAGGTGTATGAAGTTTGACATGATTTGATTTTTCACGCATTTTTCATTTTTACATGAAGGGAATTTGAAATCAACTCATAAAAAAACGTACTAATAACTATGCATTATATTAATATTGCAACGTAATAACCTCTTCCAATATAAATACGGCATCAATTTTATTATTATATATATTCATGGATAAGAATATTAATATACACGTGTAAAATAAAAAATAATAAACAACAACTCTGTTACCATACATCGCGCATTGTTGATTAGAAAAATGTTTCTCTTGATAAAAAAACCTTTTTTGTCTGAAACTTGTGCGATCGAATGAAAATGTAAATTAGTAAGGCCAGGCTAGGGTTCCTAACCGTAATCCTACCTCCTATTCGAATATTAGTAATTATTTCAAATACTTGTAATCATTTAAAATATTTCAAACACTTGCATTTATTTCAATTATTCATTAATTTTGATGAATTTTGTAAATACTTACAAATTACAATATACTTACTAAATTATATTTACTATAAAAGAAAAAAAAAATCATATTCCATTTGAATTTTGAAAAGACACTTTATTTGAACTTGGCATGTTCTTACACTTCCATCGTCACTAATACTAAATGAAGCTCTCGCGTGGCCTACCTTCTTATTATGGTTTTTTAGGTAGTGGCGATGAATTATTCGGTGGGTAATGGCAAAACAGATGAAAAGGTTTCCGAATTGGTTGTTAGGCATCCTGCATAGTAAATATTTATTTATTTTTATGACTAGAATTTAAATATATTAATTATGTATTTTAAAAAAATTCCTGCTTACTATTATTTTCTAGTATCATTATCCACATTTAACCAAAGATCAAGAAGCATTGGTATTTTTAAAATTAGTTATTTGAATTAATTTTTTTTAATATATATATATATAATATAATATAATTTCCCTTTTTTTAAATATAAAATATAGGTTGAAAAATTATTAAAGTCATCAAGAACACCCCAAGATGGAATAATTGACAAGTTCAACTTGGCAGTAACTTGTCATGATATCCACACTTTAATATAATATTTAATAATATTATTATTAGTATCATCATAATCGTCATCATCATCATCATCATCATCATTATTATTATCAGCAGCAGCAGTAGTAGAGTGATTTCTCACATGCAAATGTTTAAATTTTTAATTAATGAATGTCAAAATAAGAAAGGTGGAAATGCAAATCTTGATTTCAACAGTTGGGCAGAAAATCCAAGATTGAAGGTATGTAACATTGTATATTTTATTTATTCGAAAATTTATTCCATTAGTCACTAATAAATCACTATTTCATTACTAATATATATAATTAGAAAGTTCACAACAAAAAAATTCTTATGATTGTGGTGTTTTTACATTAGCTTTCATTGAACACATTAGGAGGCAAGCACATTTATTGTTTAATCAATCATTATTGCCATATTTCAGAAAAAAAATAATATACGAGATTGCATCTGGTGAATTGTTGACATAATAATAAATTATTATTAGATACATTATTGTTGCTGCATAGAATAATAATAATAAATTATATACCATTGATTGGTTTTATATCATTTTTATTATTAATATCAATTTACCTATATAATAAATAATTACATACTTAGGTAAATATGATTTTTTTTAAAAAAAAACAATAAAAAATTTTGAAAAAAAAATATTTTAAATTTTATTTTAAAGGAATAAATCTTGAAGAATGGGTTGCACCAATACCTAGAAAAAAATTGTCAATATTATTGATTATGAAAATGACAAATTCAATCATACTCTGTAAACACTTACCAGGACGACCATGTTTAACAGGTTTATAAGTGACTGAAAATTCACCAAGATAATGCCCAATCATTTCCGGCTAAATATTCATATGATACAAAATATAGTTAATAAGAAATTCATCAAAACATAATAACTGCCCATTGTCCTCTTCTTTCTCTCCTTCCAAGTCACCCATCCACTTTCATTACCTTAATTTCAACTTGATTGAACGTTTTCCCGTTATAAACACCAATGATAGATCCAATCATTTCAGGCACAATAATCATATCACGTAAATGAGTTTTTACAACATTAGGTTTATCATCTGGTGGTGCCTCTTTTTTTGCTTTACGTAATTTCTTTATTAATCCCATTGGTTTGCGTTTTAAACCACGTTGAAATCTTCTTCTTGCTCTTGCGTGAACCAAGTCCATTAACTTGTAAAAAAAAATATATTTATATATATATATTTTTTTAATGTAACTGAATTAAAATCTTTAGTTATAAATACTGAGTGAGATTTACTTGTTCAGAAGACAGATCCAACAATTGGTCCAAATCAACGCCACGATATGAAAACTTTTTAAAGATTCTTTTCTTTTTTTGTTCAACATTTGCATCGTTGTCATCTGCCTTTTCATTCCAATTAATTTAATTTTTCATAATTATTACATTTAAATAAAAAAAAAATTCGATACATTGTTAAATTATGAAAGTATATTATCAATATCATTATATACTGTACACATATATATATATACCATTTTTTTATTTTTTTTAATTTTTAAATAAATGAAGTGAAAGCAAATAATAATTAAAAAAAATTTTTTTTTAATGGATAATCTATATCTGTTACACGGATTCAAATTGTTTTTTTTTTTTTAATAATTGATTTTAAATAAACAGTCGTAATTTGGGCAAAAGAGCTGATAATGACTATAAAATATAACTTTTAAAAGTTGAAGAGAAAAAGTCAGGCAAGAAAGATTTGTACAGTATACACATATATCATGTTTGTCATAATTTTGAATATACAAATTGTCATTAATTATTGCCATAAGCTTTTCTAATCTATTATCCTTGTAATAAATAAATATTATAAATAAATATATTATGTTTATAAATATTTTTATATATTTATAATTATTTAAATGATAACATTATTGTTGTAAAGTAGATAGATATGTGATTTCAAATATTTCTTTTTTTTTTTTTTCAATTAATAATTTAACTACCAGGAGGTCCCCATGCACCAAAGATATCCATACTCATTGGTTCTTTAGTTTTACGTATATAACGAACCATATTGCCTAATTCTTCTTCCAAAAATTCAATTTCCTCCATACGCTCTTCCTCTTCTACTACTTCAATTAGTTCAGCTTGTCTTTGTTCATACAGTAACTCACAATTTACTATTACAAATTGATTACAATAATCATAAAGCTGTCCAGCTGAAAACATCTTTGCCCATTCTTTCAATTCGATCACATTCTGTGGCAGTACAAGCCCATCGTTTACAATCTTATATTCAACTTCACATTTAAGCTCTTTGATTAAATATTTTTCTGAACAATTAAGCAGATCAATGTATAATTTTAATAGATTTGATGTTGAATTTTTATCAGACATATTATTATTATTGTCGTTGTTGTTGTTGTTGCGTTTACTATTTTTTTTACCATCTTTATTATTCTTTTCAGTTGTCATTACAAAGGTCACAGCTTCAGATAGTGATTTACCATATAACCATTCAAGAAGCACTAGAAATGAATTAGGATCTATATCATCCACTTCCACATGAATAACTTCATCAGGATTCGATTCTTTAGTGCCTGCAAGAAACATCACCTCAAAATAATTTGAAGAAGCTGCCAGCTTGTAACGATTGGCTCCTATCTTCTTACCACGTACATTAAAGTAAATGTCATGAGGTTTTTGCATGTCGTCCTGTCCATGATAATTCTTGTAAAGTTTAGAAACTCCTTTTCCTTTTTCTTTTAAAAACCTGTTCAATGAAGTGGCAATATGTTCTTTCTGAGAATGAGGTATCAATTCTATGTTTACAGGTATATTTTTCATCTCTAATGCTCCTGAAATTAATAGCAATCTTTTAAAATGAGATAATTCAGGGCTTACTGCCATTTTATTTGGGCTGATATCTTCGCTTATATTCAAGACAAGATGTTTTGCACACATCCAATCTTCCTGTATAAAAGGATCAGCCCCATTCAAAAATATATATGGATTTTCTTTTAATCTTTTACTTAAATATTCACGATAGTTCATCTTATCCAAATACTCGTAGATTTCAGAAATAATCTTTTTTAATTTTCTTGTTGCTTTGGTCGATTTCCACGATGCCAAATTAGCTTTGACAATAGTGTCAATTATTCCATATAGATGATCTAATACCATATGAAATTCGATGTTTCTGAGTGATGTGAATTTAGTTAGAAAGGAATGGTTTGGCATGACATTGTACGAGTATATAGGTGCCTGTGTCCAAATGAGGTTTTTGTAGATTGGTAAATGAAGTGCCTTAAACGAATAGAATGGTTTTTGTTCATATATTACACAATCATAAGGTGCTCTCGGAGGTTCACAAGGTATAAAATCGATTGATGATAATGTTTCCCATTGACTGTCTGCTAGCCAAAGCTCTTCAAAATGATCGTATAAATAATTCACCGTTTTCCTTGCTCTGTATATCAAATTTCTTGGGGGGTTGTCACTTTTTGATAATTCTTCGATTTTCCGCGCACATTTGATAAAGTTATCTCCAGTCACTTCAAAATTTACTGCCACCACTCCCAGTCTTTTTACAAGTGTATCAGCGAATGCTTTTTTTTGAAACGCTTTAGGAATAAAAACATCTTCTCCTTCAAATACAAGTCTAAACAATAGGTTTGATCTATCAAATAATTCTCGTGGTCGTTTTGAAATTTTTTTTTTTTGGTAAGGAATCATGCTTAAAGATAAATAAATTCAAAATAGTCAATGATTATCAATTATGAAGTTATAGGGGGGTTAAAATTAGAACTCTTACTAATTGGGGCATGCTGCAACAAAACCAGACAAAGTGAACATTGGTATTACCAAAGATTTCAGGGGTCAAATTTTAGTAATGTGATTAATAAAATCTTCCATTTGTTATCCTCTTAATATTAGGTGATATATAGAATTACCTCTATATAAAAACAGTTAATATGAAGTTAATTTACATTGGATCTACCATGGAACCCAAAAATTACAGCACCATTAGAAGTATAGTTAAAAAGTTTTATTAAATGATAATATAATCATCAGTTCAATCAATGAGTATAGATATTCCAAGAACATTTAATGAAAAATAATTTTTCTAAAAATCATAATAATAAAAGGCAATGATGATTATTAATGATTGATTAATAGTATTTAACCTTAGGATAAGAAAGCATAATCTTAAAAGCTAGAAAACAGCAAATAAATATATTATTATAATGTCTATTGATTCCATAGTTACATAATTTTTGAGTTTTCAATTTTATCTTGTTATATTAAAAAACATCAGCATCAACATTTCCATCATCACTTTCTTTCTTAGACTTTTTAGCAAGTCTTTTAGACTTGTCTTCACTATCATCATCTATAATTTCCTTATGTTTCTTCAATGTATTATTATCATCTAATGTTTTGGAACTTGATATGGAATTATCAGAGATGTTTATTTCGTGATTTGATTTATTTTCTGCTTTTATCAAAGTTTCAGTTTCATTATTATCTGGTTCTTGCTCTTCTTTTTTATCAACAATCTCGATTGTATTTGATGATGAACTATCCTTATTCTCCATATTAATATGGATCTTATGTTTCCTTGCTGAGCAATTGTCACATGTCTCTTCACATTCTGATGTATCAAAAATTTCTCCAAAATATTCCAGAAACTGTTTCCTGCGGCAATCTATAGTATTTTCGCAATAATTTCTCATTGAAAGGAGACCTGTTCTTTTTTGTTCTTTTTGAATACCATCTTCTGCTTCATGAGCCCAAAAACAACAGCACTTGAGTGAATCGCAGACTTGATTTGTTTATGTGATCACGGCCACCAGCCATGGTGGATGGATTGAGTAAGAACTAACAGTATTTTTTTTCAACAGCGAAACAAACCCCTTTTTTGACTAAATCTGTAGATAATCAAGTAACACTACAATCACCACCCATATTGAAGAAACGGGTTCCTGGTGACTTCATTCACAAGTGGCTTCAAGATTGTCCAATTTTTTGTAATATATACA